CCCTGTGGCGAAACCACTGAGAAAGGGAGCAGAATTACCCGCATCGTCTACCGTGGTGATGAAGCAGAACACCAACTGCGGTCAAGCTATGCCAAAATCCGCACGGAGAGCCAAGCAGCGAACGGAGAAAAATCGATCGGCCCATGGCCAACACGAATAGACACGACTTCAAATTGGTGGTCGATAAAGTCAGTTTATGCTTCGACAGCCGCCCCAGCTGTTTAAAACCTAAGCGAAGAAATAAACTCATTCCGTAGAGCACGACATGGTATCGGATTCTTACCCCAGAATTCTGACTTGCAAACATGAACATCTGTCGCATTTAAGTTAAATGCCGGTCCAAATTTAATTGCGCCTTATAGAAACAAATCATTAAAAGTTTCCAATTTATATTCCCTCAGCAGGCGGTCAGGTTATCAACTTAATTGACTAAAGGAAGAACTTTGTTCGTCTACAGAAACTGTAGAGCATATATCCAGAGACTAGCTGCAGTTTCCAATACCTTGTAGATGCCTCAGTCGCTACTGTGTCCATGGTGTTTTGGGTAAATATGCTTTATCTAGTTTTCAAAAGTCAGAATACCGGAATTAGAAGCATAGACCATATTGTGTTCACTGGAATGAGTTTATATTTTCGCTAAAGTGCCGGGCAGTTGGTTCCGCTGTCCTTTGTTAAAGCGTAAACCGACTTTATCGATCAGCAATCCAAGGTTGTGGCTGTACGTGCTGCCGTCAAGTTATGCGAAAATCCATACGGAGGGCCACGCAGCGAAGTAGAAAAATATCGATCAGCAATTTGAAGTTGGGGCTGTACGTGTTGGCCATGGACTGATCGATATTTTTCTGTTCGCTTCTTGGCCCTCCGCATAGATTTTGGCATAACTTGATGGCAACACGTACAGCCACAACTTTGAATTACTGATCGATTAAGTCGGTTTACGCTTTGACGAACGACAACCGAACCAATTGTCCGGCATTTCAGCGAAAATATTAAATTCATTCCGGTGAGCACAACATGATCTATGATGCTTTATCTAGCGTGTAAACAAATGGGGTGTTCAGAGGTATACACCTAAATTTTCTTCAAGTAAGTTGAACTGAACTGAGCTTTTTGTATCTCCATAGCCGGACCGATCATCCCAGTTACCCTTCTGTTTGTCAGCAGTCTCCATCTGTTTCTACTATCGGCCGCTCTGTGACCGCGTGTGGGGTTCTAGATCCAGACGCAAGCACAAGGGTCGGTGCATTTCCTGTGTCGATCAGTCAAGGCACTTGCAACACAGTTAATATTAGACAGAATGATATTACCGACAAAGAACAAGGAGGTTGGAATGACCATTTCTGGCTTATTAGCCATCATCAGCCGGTCATACCCGATCCCAACTGTGGTTCACCTGAGGTTTGAAGCCGGGGCCCTTTGGTAATGGAGTGTAATATTCTACCATTGAGCTACGGGTTCGGTGATTTGTCAG